TTTGTATTTGAGCCCATTGTTGCAGCCACTGTGTCAATCCATCTCCTTAAGGGTCTTCCTCTTTTTCACTCACCCTCTACTTTACCAAGCATGATGTCCTTATCCCTCCTGATAACATGTCCAAAGTACGTGAGAGGTAGTCTCGCCATCCTTGCTTCAAAGAAGCATTCTGGCTATACTTCATACAAGACAGATTTATTCGTTCTTTCTGCAGTCTACGGTATATTCAATATTCTCTGCCAACATCACGATTCAAAGACGTTAATTCTTCTGTCTTCCTTATTCATTGCCCAGCTTTCACATGCATATGAGATGATTGAAAATACCGTGGCTTGGGTCAGGTGCACCTTAGTCCTCGAAGTGACATCATTGCCATTTAACATAGTGCCTAGAACATAGTAAAAGTTCAATAGTATTAGATATTTATTATTACTTATTACCATTCTCCATTGAATCCATAGCACTAAAAGAAACATAGCAGAGGTTCAATGAGTATGGTTTGAATGAATGGACATGTGAATAATGGCACAAGGAGGGAAGAAAGCACAGTGAGAAGTGAACTCTAGATTTTTGGTTCCCTGTAGACTTCAACCAGGGAAGAGAGATGGAAGTGGAACACTTAAGTGAAGTGTGAAAGAGTAGAAGATAAATTACTCTGAAACACCATAACGTATTTGTTGACTCAGCAGATTTTTCTTCAGATGTAGTATGATTTCAATACAAAAATACCCCAAACCCCTCTCCCCATAATAGACCCCCACACCTGTTCAGTATCTTCATTTACTTTAGCAGAGGCATTTATTCATTCATTCCACAATAAAAGAGAACTCTTTGACCTAAAATTACTTAGAATAATTAGCATGTTGGTATAATGAGTTTCTGTCAATTTGTAAGTTATATCAATTTCCTCTTTGAGTAATAGTAAGAGTTCATCCAATAAAAGAAGAAAATAGGTTTCAGAAGGAATGAGGATTACCTCTTAGGGGAAAGAAAAGAGCCAAAAGGGAGGCAGGAACTATCAAAGACAAACTTTAAAAACTTCATACTTTCACCCAGGGTCAGTCGTATTTCTCTTTGTTTGTACATGGACAAATAACCTCTGCACAAAAGTTCATGGGATCCTGAGTTAATTTAATCTTGGGTGGCCGCACAAACTTACTGTACTGGGAACTGAGGTTACTAAAGTTGGACTGAGTGTTAAGGCAAACATGCTCAATTTTGGCCCTTTCCCTGTGTTATCTGGGTGTGTCAATTAATTCTTCCATGAAACATATTTTTTTTCCATCTGGAAAATAAAAATGTAAGTACTTCTTCTTATTCTCGTTTTGGGGTATTATTAGGATAAATAATATACTGTTTTTATTGTGTTATTAGATATTATAAAAGAAAGCCACTATATAAAACAAATGAACATTATTACTGTTGGGTATTTGATTTGAAATTTTGAATATATAAGATATAAATTATCAAAGTGTGTATCTAGTAAAGCCTTGTTAATTAGGTACACTTAATTAATAATAAAAAAAAAGCATTGGAGTCCCTGGGTAGCACAAATAGTTAATTCACTGGGCTGCTGACCAAACGGTTGGAGATGGGAGTCCATCCAGAAGCACCTTGGAAGTAAGGCCTGAAGATCTACTTCCAAAAAAACCAGTCATTGAAAATCCTATGGAGTACATTTAGACTCTGACACACATGGTATCATCATTAGTTGGAATTCACTAAATGGCAACTGGTAAGGAAAGAGTTAGTCTGGTAGTAAACAACTTGAATGTTAGAATAGTTTCAGATATATACAATATATCTTGAAATTAGTATAAATAATCCATTAACCCAATATTTCCCAAACTTTGTTGATGGTTATAATTTCCATCAAGCCCTCCAACGAGCTATAAGAATAACTTGTTAAAAACACAGATTTATAGGCTCCAGTCCCTCTTCTCTGATTCAGAATCCCCAGAGAAATGGCCTGGTATTCTACTAGATTATAGTGATTCATTTCATATTGGTACTTGGAAACGATTGCTTGACATTTTTTAGAACAGGTTGGGGTGTATGATGAAATGCACATTCCCCATCACAGATAAACTGAATCAACATCTCTTCATGTGAGCCCCAGAATTTACATTTTTAGCAATTTCCTCTAGAAAATGCTATGTACAGCAGAAATTTGAGAATCATTGCTTCCTTTAACAATATTCAGTTATATAAGGGCAAAGTGGGACTTGCTTTATTAAATACTGAGGAACTTATTATGAGAACATTACAAGTAATGTTTATTAAAACAATGAAATATATTCCTTGAAATACTCAATCAAGTTACTAAGTTTTTCACACAATGCAAAGGAAAATTTCAAAGCCATTTAAATTAGTTTTTATGACTTGTAAACTGTTAAAGAAAATCAATGAATTCATTGTCCAAACTTTAAACAGATTTTATTTTACACATATATTCAAAAGTTAGTCAAATTTCCACACACAACACTCAGGTATAAAAATTATATTTTCAATTGCGTGCCTATTTCCCCTGCTTCACTACTTGGTTTTTGTCTCAAATTGAGAATTATATTACTTCTAGTCCATAACAATTTTTCCAAAATAATTTTTTTAAAAATTCCATTATGTTTCCTGTTGTGAGGAACAGTATGGCAGTTCCTCAAAAGATTAAAAATAGAATTATAATATGACCCAGCAATTTCACTTTTGGGTATATATCCTAGGGATCTAATAGTAGTGATGCAAACAGATGCCTATGTTCATTGCAGCACTACTCACAACAGCAAAAAGGTGGAAACAACCTAAGCGCCCATCAACGGATGAATGGATAAACAAAATGTGGTACATACATACGGTGGAATAGTACTCAACCATAAAGAGAAATGAAGTTGTGATACATGCTACAACATGAATAAACTTCTAAGACATTAAGCTGAGTGAAATAAGTCAGTCACAAAAGGACAAATCCTGTATGATCTCACTTACATGAAATGACAATAATAGGTAAATGTATAGAGACCAATAGTTATTAGTGGTTACCAAGGGTGGGAGGGGAGGGGAAAGGGGGAACCATTCTTTGGGAAGTAGTGAGTTTTTGTCTATTATGCATAGGGTCGCTATGAGTCAGAACTGACTTGACAAGCACCTAACAACACAACAACATTACATCTATCAGAGCATGCTCTAGATTTTGTTCCCAGCACTTAATCACAATTTGTAATCACACAATTTTTGTGACAATCTATTTAATATCTCACTCCCTCACCCTGCAGAAAGGTTCAAGGTTGGTTATGCTTGTTAAACTCAACAATGCATTCATCTTGTCAATAACAGTTCTTTCAATAAATGTTTACTGAATTAAAGAATGGATGTCTGATAAATGAATAAAGGATACAGAATGGCTTTGAGAATTCAGAGGTAGAAAACTGAGTAAATGGGGTTGCAATGGTGAGAAGAATAGGAGAAGGGAGGAATAAAAAAAAAAGACTTTAAGATGTAGAGTCTCAGGGATTGTGCATTGAATAAAACAAGAAATCCATAAAAAGGAACTCACTAAGAAAAAAGATGCATGCTCTTCTTATTTTAAGGCTGTATTCCACAGTATTTACCAGTTAGCCCAAATAGTTCAATAGACTTTACTTTTTTTATTCCGTTTATTGATATTTAGCTTTTTCCTTTTTGAGGATAAACACCTTTTTACATATCCTGTAAATGGATTAAACTAGTAGTCTGTGTTTTTTTCTTTGTCCATAAAATGGATAATGTTTAGATAAGATTGGCCAGGATTATACCTAGTATAATTGTGATCTTGTATAAACAATGACTATATAACTTATCAACCTTTTAGTTATTTGGGTTTTTTTTCCCCTAATTTAAACTAATTTTTAGGAGACTTCCTTAATTTTGAGGGCACAAAAAGTTAGGTTCACAAATTCTTGAAACAAATCCTTAGCAACCATAACTGTTGCTCCAAAAGAAATTATCTAAACCTTTGACTATTTAGTCACCTCAACAAATGGTTAACAATTATCAAAAATCACTGTCTTATTAATATTTCTAGTTTGAAATGAGTTTTTCATTTTCATCAGAACAAAGTAAGCTCCCCCTAAGAAATCCCTAAACAAAATAGAAAAAGCATTCCGAGTCAATAGCAGAATAATAAGCAAACTAAAAAGTCCGAGGATGTGAGTTCTAAATTATGCTACATATGCTGACATAGAAGTAGGAGCAGAGGAGGGATTGGCAGAAAACTTCCCTAACCAAGTTCTGACTCTAAAGTTATTATCAGTGGAGTCTTATCCTGCCTACAAATAAGAAATTAACATACTAAGACTTCAAATCTAAGAAATTAGGGAAATTTTTGTTACCTTTAGAGAATAGTTCTTTATGTAATTAGTAACAGAACACTTCTTCCCCATGTTTTGTTTTTTCATTATCTCTAGATTTGCAAACAATGCCCTATTAAATATATATTGCTCTTTAGTTTGTAAAGTGATAACCCAAACTTTCAACTCAGTAACTATGTCTTAAAAAATGGTAAGGGGCATAGCATAGTTGGATAAAATGCTAAAGTGCAATTCAGACAACAGTTCTCTCCTTTTCCTTACAACAGCTATAGGATTTGTCTACATCCAACAATTCTGAAAAGCTTTTCCCCGGGAAAGGAAGTACAATAATCTGAAATCTAAGAAAAGTCTCACACAGAAATCAAAAATGATTTCAGTGCTGTGTAGTTGGAGAATTGCTTCTCAGCAACGTATAACGTGCTTAGGACTTAGCTGTTTCATGATTTAGTACCCTTCCGTAAAAATAACAGTAACAACAATAATAGTGAAAATAAAAGCTGAACTATGAATAGCACATAATAGTACTCCTCAAACACTCAAAAAAGGAATGAAGCCCCTATTATTTTGTTTCATCTATACACACACATTTGAAAAACAGGCATCCCAAACCTTCATATTTATTTTTCTAAAATCATGTTAATTTCTTATTTATTTCAGGCATTACTAGAGACTCAAAATTTACTGCGCACTCAGGTTGCAAATTTTACCTTCAACCTTGGATTTTCAGGGAAGTTTTACCACACAGGTAAGAAGGAGCTTTGTGTTCTCAGGCAGCTACATATAAATAGGAGACAGGATTTTAATTGTTCCATAAGTAGGAGAAATATAACGTCCAGACTGATTATGGGAAAAACTTGGACGTGTTGTATGAGTAGCCAAATCCAAAATCAATGAGCTTGTTTACTTTGGCAAAGACTGTTAGAATCAAGGGCAAAAGACGAGAGAATTGACTTTTTCTGCTCAGTACAAGAAACTGTAACTACTGTTCTAAATATGAGAACTTAGTACAGTCTAAGTAAGAAATATTGTAATTATAAATAATAATAATAATGAGTGTCATTTTAAAGCTGTCAGATAGTTGAGATGATGGATGTTTTTGTACATATTCTTTTCCTTTGGAAAACATCTGGTGAAGAGAGAGGAATTTTACAGCCTCAAAGAAATAGACTCTAAGGGTCATCTTGCTTAGCTTACCTTTTTTTGCAGGATTTTTCCCAAAAATATTATTGCTAATTTTGTCCAATGTACATTACAATACTCACAATCAGCCTTGTATCTCTATCTCTGTCTTGCCACAGCTGCATTTCTCTTCAGTCTTAGCCTCTCAACAAATTCCCCAAATTTGATCGGTGTTGACTCACCGCTCTATGTTCTGATATTTCTCACCTTTTTCCCGCCTTCACCTCCAGAATTTGACTTTTGTTGTCTGAATATTAGCATTGTAATATCTGGCACTAGTGTAGATAAAAACTATGTGCATAAAATTGATGGTCTTATACTGAGGACAAAATAGCACAAAATGGTGTGCTGGGACTTGAATTAGGGGAATACCTACAATCTGCTCTGGTTAGTGCATCTGGGTGGAGCTAAGTGCTTCATTTAGGAGCCTGCACTGTTGTTTCTTCATAGCATTTTGTGAAAAAAATTCACAGTATTCTCCATGCATGCATGCAGTTTATTGACTCATTAGAAATATTCCATACAATGGTAGTCTTTAATTAACATAAATGAAGCTTGTTTACCCAAAGAGGCTTTCTAATGTAAAAGCTCAGCATGATTTATTAGAATATTGAAGCTGCAATGTCTTATTGGCTTTTTAATGCCTTTTCTCTCCTGTTTTGAAACATGTAGATCTGTTTAAAGTAATAAAGGAAAATTAGTATTTAGATTAGTTGGTAAATCAAATGATTGCATATTTTAACAGGCTATATTGCAGAAGGAGATTTGGGTCATCATATTTGCACATGCAAACCAATTCCAGCTTACAATTTTGAAAATAGACATGGTTTTGTAAATCTTCTTCAAAAGCCGCCTAAAGAAATGAGTTCAGGCCTAAGAAGCTCTGACTATGAAGTTATAAAGCAGATAACTCTGAAGCCTGTATCTACTCATGCAGGGGAAAAAATTATGGGATTATTTAGGGTTCACATACAAAGAATACTACTTTGTCTTAAATAGCTGTCTATTGTAATTAAAACTGTTCTTTTGGCTGGAATATATCTGGATAACTGCCTCAATTTTATTTATTTTTCATATTCAGACCTATTAAACCTGCCAGACAACTGCAGAATAAATGTTGATAACAGGTTATAATGCTTCCCATTTCTTCTTTATAATCCTGAACATGTACATAGTACACGTTCACTAGGAAATGAACACACTATTTAACATCACAGGGATAGTTGTTGAAGGAAGACACCAGAAAAATAACAGACATATTTTAATTCTATCTTTTAAATGGACCTTACTGACTCTTTATGTTGGAATTAACTGACAAAAATAATCAAAGAAACACTTTATTCTATTATGTTGTGGTGATACTGCCATTTAGAGATTAAGCATTATGTGAGCTTGTAAATCCTGGAAGTTTCATTTTCTTCACATAAATATGAAATACTTATTTAATTGATTTGCTTCTTTCCTGCATATGGAATCACTGAAATGGATCCATAACGTACTTCAAGTGTGCCATCACATTATGTTGACTACTATTAATTCACTCAGGGAAATCAAGGTTTTTCTTCCAGTGCAGAGGTCAACTTTAGTGATATCCTCTATCATGAGAGTAGGCCTCTCCCCTATCTAGTCACATTCCTATACGGGAGTTTAACTATATAGACAAAGGGTTGAAAATCAGAGAAGTTTCCTTGCATGTACACTTGGCTGTGATATGTAACCACGAGGAGATGGCCTTTTCTCAATGACTGTTTCAGTTCTCTCCCAAAATGATCTGATTTTTCAGTGCAGGAGTTTACTGATTGATGAGCCTCATTGTTCTGAAGACATTTAATCACATATGCCGGGTGATAATGATTGATTTTGCATTTCTTAGGCTACTTCACTTATTTGTATTTCTCGTGTATTCTTTCCTGTTCAGCTTCTCTGTCCTTCACATGCTAAAAAACAATCTCATCCAAAGAGAAAAAAGGGCATATCACTAAGCTTTCCCAAAAAGTCAGTCACCCACACGTGCCGAATTGAAAGAGGAAGAATATACTGCAAAGTAAACACACACACACACACACACACACACACACACACAAGTTAGGAGTGAAATATTTAGTCTGAAAATACTTAAAGCCTGATTGGATTTGTGCAATGAAAGCCCAATTAAAAAATGGATACATTACAACATTAATATGCCTACCAGGGATGGCGGGCTTCAAATTTTATTTTCCAGGGGACATGATTTCTGGTGACAATCATTGCTGTTTTTATAATTAAGAATACATTGACTATGACTCAATCAGTAATTATTTCATGGATATTATTTGCAAATTTGATTAATATTGTTCTTCACCATGAGACCTTATTTTACAAAAAAAAAAAAATCCTTTGTATATAACTACTAACTTTCAAACATGAAGGTTAAAAAATGTTACATTGTTTCTCTTTGGTTATTTTTTGTTTGTTTGCTTTTATTTTGCTATATAAAGTATTAGTTAAAAGACTGGATATTAAAGCCATACTACCTCGTATCAAATCCAGGGACATTTTACTAGCTATGTGAACACAGAGTACCTCAGTTTCCACATCTATAAAATGGGGATAATAATAATATCTATCTCATTTAGAACAGTTCCTAGTGTATTATAAATACTATATAAGTGTGTTGCATTAATTACTTTTTAAAAAGTATTTTTTTCTTGAAGAATCAAATATTGTCAAAAGAGTTCACAGTTCATATGGCTCTATTGTCTAATTTTGGAATTTTAGGTAGCTTTTAACCAATTCTTATCAATATACAGTTATTTTTATTTAATATAATATTTTAAAGTAGCTTATTTCATACTCACCTATATCAAACTTTGTCAGGCTCAGTGTACAAAGAAAATTAGGAAACATCTTCTGACACTTTGGAAATTGCAGTATTTCACACATATTTAGCAAATATAAAGCAGATATTTGTAAAAAAAAAAAAAGAATTTTATATGTCTTATTTTAAGGTTACAATTCTGTCTTATTTTAAGGTTACAACTCTGTCTTTAAGGAAATTAACATATAGTGCAGATCTTGCTAAAACCATTCTTATTATGGCCTACTGAAAGAACTTTTACAAGCATATTATCATTTATAACAAAGATCCTCCAAAAGTGGTGGCAAAGAAATGAACTCTTCAAATATTTTACTTCTGAAGTAAAACACTTTTCATTGTCTGAAAATCAAGAACAGTAAAAGAACATAATTTTAAATCAGAACAAAAAGTACTATATTTAATTAGTAACGATCTAAGATTTGGATCTAGATCAAGTTACAAGGTAAAGGCTCAGTTTGAATACGGATAATTTAATGGGTTGTAGCTTGTGTTAAATATGGTCACATATAAAATTATAAATTACTTTTTTAAGAATATATTAGGTTAGGAAAAATATATGTTCTCTATGAATTAAAACATTTAATATTTTCAGTTATTTGGATTTGTAAACATTGAAATTTGGCTGTGGTCCTCCAGTATGAGTTGGTATCATATTTTTCATTAAGCTATTTCCAGTATCACAGGCCTGGCTCATATGGCTTTGAATTATATGACCTGTATAAAATAAGAGAAAAGGTTATGGGAAATTAATCCACCATGTGAAAAAAAATAATGGTTTTAAATAGTATTCTCAACCTTGTGGGAAGTGTTCATAAATTAACACAACTCTGATATAAAAATTACTTAGATTTTATGATCAGTCATGCATCTGTTTACAGCAAGGTCCAAGGTTATGAATGTTGGACTTAAGAACAACTTATACTTGTCCTTTAATGTTATGTAAAGTTGCCCTCACTGTGAAAAGATTGAACCAACCCCTACTCACAACAAATTCTTCATAACAGTCACCTTCACTTGCTGCAAGTGCAGCTTTTAAATCATTGAAAAGCCTTTCAGCGTTTCCTTGCACTAAACCAAAAAACCTGTTGCTGTTGAGTCGATTCTGATTCATAGCGACCCTGTAGGACAGAGTAGAACTGCCCCATAGGGTTTCCAAGGAGCGACTGGTGGATATGAACTGCTGACCTTTTGGCTCTTAACCACAGTGCCACCAGGGCTACAAGAAAGGCTAACGAAGAACCATATGGACAGTACCGACTTACCTACAAATTTGACTTAAAGATACACTTAGGAATGGACCTCCTTCGTAACCCTGGGACTACCTGTATAGCAATAGTTTGCAAAATTGTCTTTAAATTGAGAAATTGACCTCCTTCCTGCTCAAGTATCCATTATGTGCCTCCTGCCACTACTGACAATGATCAGCAGAAGTTAAAGTGAATGGAAGCATTTCTGAGTCTATTTTCAAAGCACAACAGGATAATTCCAGAAGGGTGAGAGAATTATCAATTTATTTGTGGCATGTGACCTAAAGTAACTATTCCTAATTTACGACTCATTTTGCTAAATTATGGCCATGAGAAAAACCTGTTCTGTAGCACAGACACTTCAAGCTTGAAATCCATCTGAGAAAGTGATAAACTATTCTTCATTCACATTTCCATATTTGAAATTCTTAATATATTAGCAAAAGTCAATGAACTGTGAGCCTGTAGTACTAATAGCTTTACCTAAAGTGAAAAAAACAAAAAAAGGATTCTATGGTCCACTCATTCTTATGACTTTATCACTTTCAAGACTCCTATTTCTTTACTCCTTGTGTATTTTCAACTCACAGTGCCAAACTCTAATTAAAACTTGACGGTTCTTACACCTTTTGAGGACTATGGATTATATTCCAAGAAAAACACCATATAAATAAATGCACACCAAAGTTGGCAAACTTTAGGCAATATACGCAGTCTTTAAGGTCAAATATATATATATATTTATATATAAATTGAGAGCTCGATCTTTTTAAATAATGAATAGAAAGCAGATTTAAAATAAAAAAGATACCAGAATGTTTCCGCAGGTTAGCTCTAAATTTTTTTTTTAATTTTGCATTTTCAATCAGCATATATTATTTTTGTAATAAGAAAATCATTAACAAACATCATCAGTTAAATTTTAACTTTAAACTTCTATGCAAGAAAATTTTCAGAGAAAAAAATAACAATTATCTCTCATCATATTTCCCCTAGGCAGGCAAAAGAAGAGTGAGTTGGCTGTTGATAATTCTAAAACAAAAATAAACCATCTAAAAGTAGGTCTTTTGTTGTTGTTGTTATCACTATGTAATAGCAATTCTAAACAATTCCAGTGATGAAATACCCCTAAGTTCTCAATTAAACTACTGTCTGAACCTAGAGCTGGCCTCTCCAACCACACAGCCTAACGCCATTGCTGCTGATGTAATTCAGACTAGAGACATTTTTTTTTCCCCCTGATTAAAACAACACAGAATTGGATCTTTGTATCAGTAGAATGAAGAATAATGAAAATCTGACGAAAATAAACTTTAAGCTCGTAGGAAATTTTCACTTAAACCATTTTTAACTTCATGTTTTACAGGGACTGAAGAGGAAGATGAAGGAGATGACCTTTTGCTTCAGTCTGTGGATGAGTTTTGGTGGTTTCCTCACATGTGGAGCCACATGCAGCCCCATCTCTTCCACAATGAGTCGTCCTTAGTTGAGCAGATGATTCTCAACAAGGAATTTGCACTAGTAAGTATATATATATATATATATGTATATACATATATTTTTTGGGTGGAATTTTTCAAACTATGAAAAATTAGTTTTCCATTAGTTGATCATAAAATCAATTTATTAGGTTGCATTCAACGGAAATAGAGTAGAATAGAAAATATCAGAGTCCATCACATGCATTAAGGGTATCTATTGCTTTGTGAGGAGCCTAGTGGCACAGTGGTTAAGAGCTTGGCTGCTAACAAAAAGGTTGGCAGTTCACATCCACTAGCTGCTCTTGGAAACCCTATGGGACAGTTCTACTCCGTCCTATAGGGTCACTATGAGTAGGAATCAACTCAACAGCAATGGGTTTGGGTTTTTTTGTTTAATGCTTTGTGATATTTTCCTTCAAGTATGTGTGTATATGTGTGTTGGGTTGTGATATAAAATATATTTCAAAAAGTAGATCATTGTCAAAGTGTGCAATATCTTGTTTTATGGGAGGAGTCTTCTTGCATCTATGATGAGGAAAAAATAGTATTATCACCATTGTATCTCTGATGCAGCGTAATTAACCCTTCAAAAAGTTTTATTGGGAGAATGAATGAATTGATGAGCCAATGGATGTATCAACTGAATCATTAGAGCAAACCAGTGGTTCTGAAACTTTAGCATGTATCAATTTTACATAAAAGACTTTTAAAACATAGAGTGCTGGGCCCCAGGCCTACAGTTTCTGATTCAGTAGATTTTCAGAGAGGCCCGAGAATTTGCATTTCTAACAAGTTCCCAGATGACGCTGATTCTGCTGGGACTATACTTTTAGAACCACTGATCTAGACTAGGAGTTGGTAAACTACAGTCTTGGGTCAAATCTGGCCCAGCACCTGTTTGTTTATGGCCTATGAGCTAAGAAGGATTTTTACATTTTTACATAATTGAATAACAATCAAAGGAAGAATAATACTTTGTGATACATAAAAATTAGATGAAATGCAAATGTCAATGTCCATAAATAAAGTTTTATTGGAACACTGCCATGCTCATCCCTTTATATATCGTCTGCAACTGCTTTCTCACTGCAACAGCAGAGTTGAATAGCTTCAACAGTGACCATGTGCCCCCAAAGCCTAAAATACTTATTATCTGGATATTTACAGAAAAAATCTTGCCCACTCCTTCTCTAGATATTAATTAATCTATATATTCCTTTAAGAAGCTAATGAAAGACAGAGCTCTCTTCCCAGAAAAATACTCCTATGTACATTCTCACATCAGCACACATCGAGACATATAATCACAAAGCATTTGTGAATCATCTGAAAACTCTGGGACCCCATTTAGGAACCCCTGTCATAAGTAAACAGTTGTGGTTCTTTTGCCCTGAGCGATTGCTAATATGTTCTATTTTTTAAAACCACGTTAGGAGGCATAGGCCTAAGGCCAAATAAACACTATCATATTTTAGAGTTACACCTAGTTATGTTAACGACTCATGCCTCTTTCTATCTCTAATTCCCCACCTGTAAAAATGAAGATAATAGTAACAGCTACCTCATAATATTTTTATGAGAATGCATACAAAGTGCTTGGAGCAATTCCTGGCACAGGGGAAGTGCTCAATTGTTGTTATTTGCTGTCGAACCCATATATGCAGAGTAGAACTGCTTCACATGGTTTTCAAGGCTGTCACCTTTTGGAAGCAGATTGCAGGGTTGTCTTCACAGGCACCTCTGGGTGAGTTTAAACTGCCAACTTTTTGGCTAGTAGTCAAATGCTTACCCCTTTGCTCCACCCAAGGCGCTCCAAAACCAAACCAAACCAGTTGCCGTCAAGTCAATTCTGAGGGTAGAACTGCCGCATAGTTTTCCAAGGAGGGCCTGGTGGATTTGAACTGCCGACCTTTTGGTTAGCAGCCGTAGCAATTAACCACTGCGCCACCAGCTTTCCCCAGGGCACTCAGTCGGTACTATTTAAGTAACCAATTTTGACTTTTCTAAATAAGGAGTTTATAGTTATAGCTTGCTTTAAGAAAGCCAAGTATATATTTTTAATATGGATTTACTTAAACTTTAAGTAAATATGGATTTACTTAAACTTTAGGGAATATCTACTAAATTTTGCACTACTTTATAGCATAGTAAAATTAAGTAAATGCTTCCCTTTTCAAAGAATAAGCATACTCAAGTAAGCATACTGATTTTCTCAATACAGTTACCTTGAAAATAAACAATGTCTATCACTTGGCTTAAATCTTACTCTACTCACACTTTAAAGCCTTGCCTTTTAGGAATGTAGGTTATATTTCATAATGGTTGATTTTAGCTGTTGGTGTAATTTCTGTTTTAAAAGCCATGTCAAGAGCTCTGGGAAAGAATCAGATGTAATTGCTTTGTAATGAAATGTTGAAAGCTATTTAGAGTCCATTCAGAACAATTACATTTGTTTAGTCATCGTGGCTAGAAGCTAGACTAAAGGCTATAAATATATTTTGTAAAAAATAACTTATATGTTGCATAGTCAAAATATTACAAGTAAAAGGAAATCATTTAAACACACATGCTGAAATGACATTGTCTTTTTCCACCTGGAGTTCAGCTCAATAAAATACCTCAGGATTCTTCTAGCAGTGACATTCAGAACTTCACCTTTATTGTAAACATAACATGACAGTATATTCATGGTCCAGCAAGCTGAGAGATGTATTTCTTTCTTATTAAATTATTATCTTTCCATATTCAGATGACACTTCAAAACCATCAGCAGTATCAAGATAGCATAGGATAGTGGAAAGCTCCAAATGAGATCTTGGCAAGCTAAATTCTAGTCTTGACTGCTAGTAAACGTTCTAATAAACTCAACAACTTATTTAATGTCTTCATGTCTCAGATTCCTCCCCTGAAATGATAATGATTCCCTTTTTCATTCTCTAACCTACAACGTTTTTAGATAATTAATTTACATCAGCTCATCTGCCAACCAAAACCACTGACCCAGATAATGCCACTGTCAATTGCAGCTCTAAAATTCTATGATCATTGACAACATTGGTCCACAAATTTGGAATGAACATCTTGCAATACTCACCTGTGGAGCCACAAGCAGCCGCACCTCCACCACAAGTCATCCAAGTTACACCTAGTTAGCTAGAGAAAAAAATTGCTGCAATTGAGGCAATTACGGAAAGAGATTTTCAGGTTCAATGACCAGTTTGTACTGATAAAAATCTTGCGTGTTTAAATTCTTTTTTTTTATGCTATCCTGACATTCCTCACTAGTCCTTGGTATAACTTTGGCAGACAGAGGGATTGTCAGTCTCAAAACCACAGTTGTATCATAACATTTCCACAAATGATTCAAATGACACTTTAATACCTTCATATCGATATTTCAAAAATAAACAATCAACTGGAATGGTTTTATTTGTGGGATATCTACGAATTCTCTCTGGATAGAGTTTATTTCCTATTTTAATATGTATAAAAATCTTGGCTGCTTTTTCAATCTTTCTTTTGATAAAATAACCTTTATTAATGTAAAGCATAAAAAAAACCTGTTGCCATCTACTTCATTGCCTAATCCATAAGCACGTATGCATGCAGCATGAATGTGTGGGTGTTTGTGTGCCTACGTTGATGTTCTTGTTAGGTGTCTTGCAGTTGGGTCCAACTCATAGCAACCCCATGTACAACAGAACGAAACACTGCCCAGTCCTGTGCCATCCTCACAACTGTTGTTATGCTTGAGCCCATTGTTGCAGCCACTGTGTCAGTCCATCTCATTGAGGGTCTTCTTCTTTTTTGCTGGCTCTCTACTTTACCAAGCATAATGTCCTTATCCAGGAACTGGTCCCTCCTGATAACATCTCCAAAGTACGTGAGACAAAGTTTTGCCATCCTCACTTGCCAGTAGCATTCTGGCTGTACTTCTTCCAAGACAGGTTTGTTCATTTTTCTAACAGTCCATGGTATATTCAATATTCTTCGCCAGCACCACAATTCAAAGATGCCAATTCTTCTTTGGTCTTTCTTATTCATTGTCCAGCTTTTGCATGCATATGAGGCAATTGAAAATACCGACTTGGGTCAGAGGCACCTTAGTCCTCAAAGTGACATCTTTGCTTTTTAACACTTTAAAGAGGTCTTTTGCAACAGATTTGCCCAATGCAATATGAGTTTGATTTCTTGACTGCTGCTTCCATGGGTGTTGATTGTGGATTCAAATAAAATGAAATCCCTGACAATTTCAATTTTTTCTCTGTTTATCAAGATGTTGCTTATTAGTTCAGTTGTGAGGATTTTTGTTTACTTTATGTTGAGTTGCAATCCATTCTGAATGCTGTAGTCTTTTATCTTCATCAGTGCCTTGGTCATCTAGTGCTGCTATAACAGAAATACCACAAGTGAATGGCTTTAACAAAGAGAAATTTATTCTCTTACAGTCTAGTAGGCTACAAGTCCAAATTCAGGGCATCAGCTGCAGGGGAAGGCTTTCTCTGTCAGCTCTGGAGGAAGGTCCTTGTCATCAATCTTCCCATGGACTAGGAGCATCTCCACACAGGAACCCCAGGTCCAAAGGACACGCTCTGCTCCTGGCTCTGCTTTCTTGGTATGGGGTTCCTTTGTCTCTCTGCTTGCTTCTCTCTTTTATAACTCAAAAGAGATTGGCTTAAGACACTATCTAATCTTGTAGATCTCATCCATATAACTGCCGCTAATCCATTTTATTATATCATAGTGATAGAATTTACAACACATAGGGAAACCACATCAGATAACAAAATGGTAGACAATCATACAATACCGGGAATCGTGACCTGGACAAGTTGACATATATTTTTTGGGGACACAATTCAATCCATGACAACAAGTAAGTGCTTCAAGTCCTCTTCACTTTCAGCAAGCAATGTTGTGTCATCTGCATATCACAGGTTGTTAGTGAGTCTTCCTCCAATACTGATGCCACATTCTTCTTCATATAGTCCAGCTTCTCAGATTATTTGCTCAGCATGCAAACTAATGAGTATGTCTCAC